CATTGTGGTCTCCRGCAATTCTAATCTTCCTCCTACACAAGATGAGCAGACACAGGCAAGAGATGGAACAAGAACTCTGAGGATGGGAGGGAGAGTCGAAGAGAGGATGGAGAGACGCACAAAGAGGAGTAGTGCCATCCAGTGGTACAGGGAAGTACGGCAACTCTGTGGGGCTATGGGCTCTTCATAGATCTCCTCTGGATTTAGTCACAAACACCAAAGCTTCATGYTCTCAGTCTTCAACAGAGAAGGTTCACAGTTATGGCAATAATATAAAAACAGCACTAAAATGCAAAAAAAAATAAAATAAAATAAAACTTTGGATTAGCTGTAATTTTTTAGGCCAAATATAATTATACTGCATTAATAATAATGATTATTAGTGGCATGCATAAATATTGAGTCATCCCTAATTATTACCAGTCACCAAGGGTTGATAATATTAATGTGTGTGGGTGTGTGTGGGGACTGGTATTCCCTATGTTACAGGTTTTTTGGCATACACACCTACTTGTGGGGACCTAATGTTACTTATGGGGACCTGACTGGTACTCATGGGGACCTGAGTCTAGTCCCCATGAGGGGAAACGCTGTTGGTGGGTCGGAGGTTAAGTTCAGGACTAAGGTGTGAATTGAGTTTAGGTTAGTTGTAGGGTGAGGTGAGGTTGGCCTTTGGGTTGGTGGTCAGGGTTAGGCTGTAGAAAATAATGGAAGTCAGTGTCAGGTCCCCATTAAGATATCTGTACCAAATTGTGCCTGTGCGTGTGTGTGTGTGTCTTAGTGCAATGTTTTTCAACCCTGGTCCCTCAAGGCACATCGTCCTGCATGATTTAGAGGTTTCCCTGCTTCAACACAGCCGTTTTCAATTGATAACTGATTAAAGGGGCTATATCCTGTAAAATAAACCATTTTGAGTTTTATATCATGTTATAATGTCTCATAGAAAATATGCCCAAAGTCTTACTTTGACTCATTTATGCATGTTTGAGAAATCCTGTAGTGTCCTGAGGTACCAGGCAGGGGAGCAAAAACGGCAGGTTGGGACTAGAAACGCCTTTTTGAACCATCTCCGCCTCTGGGCTGTGTCTCCAAGCCGAGCTTCCTCGTCACGGAGCACACCTCCCCACCCCCCACTCCATACACCCGCCCATGACCCCTGCAGGCTCTTGGCAGTAACAAAGTAAACAATGTGTGTAACTGAAAGTGAAACTGGAACTGTCTGCTGTGCTCCCAACACTACTTCTCACTCAGTGAAGCTCTTTTCAGA